AATTTTAATTGCAAAACGAAGTGATATAGTCCAATATTCACACATAGTTGATATGACATTTCAATAGCAATCTATCATAATGCATGATAAATATTACTATTAGCTAATTTCATTATTATGAATCCATAATTTATTTCAATTTTTTCATCATTTTCTTGGATAATACATTGAGCTTTCTTTGAATTTCAACATTGTGCGGGGAGTCTGGCATCAAAATGGACATTTTTTGAATTTAAAACATCAAAAGCTCTCTAAAAATACATTTCAAAACAAATAGTTCGTCCATTATGTACAAACTGTAACTACATCTTTTGATACCGTCATCTTCGTTCTAAATACATCCAAAATAATATCACATAAATTTTAAGGTAGTTCATCCATTTATGTACAAACTGTAACTACATCTTTTGACACCGCCATCTTCATTCTAAATACATCCAAAATAATATCACATAAATTTTAAGGTAGTTCACCCACAAATGGGCGAACCACGATTCTTTTATTAACTCCTCATGTGAATACTCTTTGCATTCACAAACATCTGATTCACGTGAGGAAGAAAGATACATAAATTCACGTAGGGAGTTAATAAAAAGAATTGTAAGGGTAAACTATCTTTAGTGTTTACGTGATATTATTTTGGATGAATTTGGAGTTAACGGAGATGATAGTGTTAAAAGATGGTAGTTATAATTTGCCCATAAATGAGTGATCAATCCTTTTTTTTTGTGTGTTTTTAGAGAATATCACTTTTGATAGCTAAAGTTCGAAAAGTATCCATTTTGATCCCAAACTCTTATGCAGAACCTATTTAAAGAAAAAAAAAATACTTCCTAATCCAAAAAAATTATATCATGAATTCAAACTCAAGACTTCTGCTTAAAAAAAAAAACGAACTTTATTCATCTCATTATATTTCTAGATAATATCAAATTATGAATGGATTCATTCGATGTCAACATTGAGGGATAAGATCAATGGACTTTTCACAACACTGCTGTCATTTTACTTGGACAAAATTAATAGAAGACTATTAATAATAATAATAATTATTATTATTATTATTTATAATAATAATATTTAATTCATCTACTTTTTTGTGGACAGAAAATTAAGAATTGACACTATAGTCAATGTCCAAAATAATGTCAAAACACATGGCCTATGTTCATGCATTAGTCTTTTTCAATTATAAATAACTAACCCAAAAGGAGAAAAAAAAGAGTTTAATTAAAACTTTGGTATATTTGTTAGAGTTGTTTGGTTCATGAAATAAGATATATAAATTAATTTGAAAATTATTATTATAAAATACATTTAATCTCCAATATCTTAACTTGATTTTTTGTAATTTCTACAAGATAAGATAAATTAGTTTAATAATTATAATTTTGAGATAATTTATTTCGCGAACCAAACGAGTATGAGAATTATTAGATTTTGGGAGGACCGCATAATATATCAAAATCTGAAAGCTTATTGGTAGATTAGATTTTCTCATATCTTTGACAAAAATGAACGGTCCTCTAATTACCAAACCCCTAATAAATAAATAGATTAATTAATAAAAAGAAATTGACACAAAAAAGATAGTATTAAGCACTATATTTTAATAATTTTATGCACTTTCTGTTTGGAACTTCATTAATTTTTAAGTAATTTTCTGTTTGGAAGTTCATTATTATATCCCAACTATATGAATATAAAAATTGAACAATTATTATATATTATTATTATACTCACGTTAACTTGGCTTATATATGTCATACATTATATGGTGAAACACTTATTTAAACTTACTTAGATTAAGGAAACTATTTTAAATTCTTATAAATGTGTATAAAATGGAATAATGTCAAATATCTTATCTACTTTTATCTTTTTTTGTTTGAGCTTAATCCACTCTTTCTCACCTACTTGTTTAGGTTAACTTACCATATGAAATTGTCTTTGGTAGGAACAAATATAGAGAGTTGTTATATATTAAATTTTTTATAAAATGTTAATAAATATTTGAATGTGAATTCAGTTATTATTAAAATATTAACTTAAAATCGTTATAAAAATTCATAAATTAAACTTCAAATCGAATCAATCTATGATCTTTGATAAGAAGTGGTTCATCACTTTATCTCCAAAGTGAAATTTTTCAACATATCATTATATACCCAAGCTTCAAAGAGGGTGTCAAATACTAAAAGTGAAACCAAATTGTGAAATATTTCGACATAAGACTATATAGTTGAGTTTCAAAGTAGGTATATTTTATTCATTTTATATCTCTCCCCCCCCCCCCACCCCCCCCCCCAA